TGCACTAGACAGTTTACTCTTGTCGGTTCTCCTGTACTCTTTGCTGGACACTTTCAGGCTACTCAGGTATCATTTGGTGAATTACTCCTTCGCTGACTTTCATCTCTCTTTTTTAATCTACAACTTTGTATGTAAATTTTAAACTTTAAAAGATAGTTTCCCAGAATGGTATCCAAGAGATTTTATAGCCTGAGGAACTAAAACTATTTCTTGAGAGAATGATGCAACTGAAGATAAATCTCCAAGTGTCTTTCTCTGGCTACAGGTTATGATCAACCAAGGCTGTTGTGAAGAAACCTAAAAATCAATGCCTTTCATTCCTAATGAGACCCTTAATGCACTGCATGACAGCAGCCAGCATGAGGTCAAGTACTGACAACTGTACCCAGCACAAATATTTTTACTATGCATTTCAATTTAAACATGTGTGGAGCCAATTATGTATTTATGGGGTTTAGACTTTTCTGCTCAAGCTTCAGATAATATGCACTCTTCAAATCTCAGCATAGTGTAGAGGATTGGTCCAGTAGTGAAAGCTCTCGCAAGTCTGTAATCAATCATCTTTGCGACCATAAGCGTGAACAGTTGACTGGTTACCACTGTTCCACAGACTCACCCCACCTGGTAGAGTTTTAATTCCCTCAGTACAATTGATTCCCCCAGTTCTGCACATTATTCTCCCTTCTTCCATTTAGCCCGTTAGTTTGCTGACAGTAGAGTACACAGCACTTAGCAGCTGGTTTGTGGAACCATCAGTCAGGAAATTGTATGATAAATAGGAGGTAGCCAGGTTTAGTGGCACTTCCTTCTGCTTCAGCAGTTTTCGCCTGAGTTTGGAAAAGTCATCATGTGGTGTTTTGTCAAGGGCCAGAACAGGAGATGGCTGCAGTGCGGTGACTTATTACACATACACTTGAATTATGATGCAGCACAGCTGCGCTGCTCATGTGTAAATAATAAACCGTGAGCTGGAAGATTCCGGTGACTGCTGGTGGCAGGGTCTGCTCTTGTCATATGGGCTTTCTCGGCCAGTTTCTTGGGCCCATGATGGAATATGTGGCTGAGCCTCCGATAGAAACAAACCAAGATGCAAGGGAAGCAGTCAGCATTTGAGGATTAGGGCTTTTTTCTTATTCTTCTCTTGTTTTAGAAATGTGAGAGGATGAATGCCATGTGATGCCATGTATCACTCAAGGGCATGCTGTTTCTGGTTTTCACTCTTCGTTTATATTGTTAAGCTGTGGTCAGGCATGACTTTAATTGGAAGAGCTGTTCATTGCACTTTCTCAGAAAGTGACTTAGAAGCGTGATTTCCACTGACACAAGGTATTATTGTTTGGGTAGACTTCATCAGTCCAGGACAAGTTATTTTAGACTAAATCAAGAGGGAAACAAATAGCAACAGTGAAATACTTGAACGAAAACCAGATGTCTTTGGTAAAGTCAGATCATATCCATAATTTTTTGTTCTTTATTTGACCTAGTAATTCTAGAATGCAGAATTCGTAAATTTCCTTGGGACATAAATAAACACTGGAAACAATGTTACAAGATGCATCACAAATTTTCAGTCAGAATTAACTTTGAAACAAAACACACTCAACAGTGAGAAATGACTATAGTGATTGTGTTTTATATTTTCCTCTCACATATTTTTGCAGTGCTTGGTCTTTGTCATTCATTCTGAAAGAAGGCGAGATGGTGAGACAGTGAATTAAAATCCTGTTAGAATAATTTCTTAAAAATGAGAAGACGGGGCTGACCAGGTGGCGCAGTTGGTTAGAGCATGAGCTCTGAGCAACAGGGTCGCCGGTTCAATTCCCACATGGGAATTGTGCCTGAGTAATTGTGCCTCAGTAAGCTGTGCCTGAGCTGAGCTGCCGCTGAGCTGCCAATGGATGGCCGGATGGCTTAGCTGGTGAGAGCATGTGCTCCTAACAACAAGGTTGCTGGTTCGACTCCCTCATGGGATGGTGGGCTGCTTCCCCACCCCCTGCAACCAGATTGAAAGCAGCGACTGGACTTGGAGCTGAGCTTGCACCCTCCACAACTAAGATTGAAGGACAACAGCTTGACTTGGAGCTGAGGGGTCCTGAAAAAACACAATGTTCCCCTTCTCCCAATTCCCCAATAAAATGTTAAAAAAAAAATTGAGAAGATGGCAGTGCCTTTTTAAATTTTTATGATAGTGTTGTAGTTTACCCTTGGGGAAGAGTGTTTTATAATGCTTGGGTACACGTCTTTGATTTTATAGGATTAACTGGTTGGTCTTCAACCATGTGCACATAAATCCCTGCAACTTCGTTATAAATACCCATATAAGAGATAATGACTGTTAGTTCCTGGACCTATGAGGCATATATTGACTGTGGAATGAGTTCACACATTTTCAGCCCTGTGTGTTTGAAAACTGTGGTATGTGCTTTGTCATAATTCATAGGCGTACCCACATAGAGAAAATCGCATAGGTATCTATCTGGTGTAGAGAGTTTAATGACGTAGAACACAGCCAAGAGCCAAGAAGTAAAGAAGTAAAAATATCTTCCAACTCTGACATAGTTGTCACAACTTACCTCAAAATGGCCACAGAAAATGGTGCATAGGGGAAGCCTTTGGGAGGTGGGTCGGTCGTACTTTATTAATGCTTAATTTACACACAGTTCTAGTAGGTTATTTCTCTGAGGACATGTGTTAAGTTTGAAGGCCGCTGGAGGTGAGCACACTTGCATCAGCAGTGACTGCTAAAAGGAGAGGAAGAGGAAGAAGTCATGACATCTGATGGCCATCGACCTGACCTGAACTTGAATCTGATTATTTGGGCCTGTTTCCAAATTTAAAAACATTCAGTGAATTGAGTATGTGTCAGACTTTCAAACTAGTGAAAAAAGATGATTCCACTTAATTTCATGTTGTTTTAGTAAGGGTGAATAATTTTCATCAAAAATGGTTAAGTAGGACATTTTGGCTCTGCAGGATTACTGTTCTGACAACAGTGCTGGATAAACTTTCACACTTGGCACACCAGCTATCTAGATTTCTATTACAAAAACCCAACTCCGACATCCTGTAACATTAAGTCCTAAGAGGTGCACTCAGAATATCATTGGTTTTTTTCATATCAACTCTATAAAATGTATAAAGTGGGATAAATGATCAGGGAGTCAGTATTGCCCTTTTGTTGAATCCCAGCATTGTTGTATATCAGTATATCACAGTGACTGATATGAAAATAGTGAGATGGTTCCTTTCCTCCTTCTGGACCACCCTCTCTTCTCTTTATCTCACAATAAGCACAAAATACCTCGATAGCTGACATTTTCAGTACAACAGTAATTTTCAGCCACAGAAGTTTACTAGGTTCTAAAGCTGGTGGAATGACAGCAGCGTTGAGTAATTTCTTGGGCCTGTCTATGCTATGTTAATAGCTTTTCGCTCTTATTTTGTTTTCTCATAACCATAGTATTAGATTCTCAAAAGAAGGGAAAAATTCAGAACAAGGGAAGTAAAATATAATTTTTTAAAAAGTTAATGTTTATATTCTAAAAGATGCTTGTTGAAAAAGATTTAGAAAGAAATGTTTGGCAAGGAAAATGAAAACCACCTGAATTCACCACACACACACAAAATAGTCCTCCGCTAAGACTTAGAGAACTTCTCAGTGGGGAGTACCGGTATACCCTTGTCTGTGTTTGGTGGAGCCCACACCCAGCACCCCTCAGGGGGTCCTGTGTCACTTCTCCATCCATTGCTCAGAACCTGTTCTCTGGCCTATTTGGAAATCGCCTGTACGTCCTGCTACCCTGAGGCGTAGCAAATCTTCAGACTTGTAGAAATGACTGGAAGCCTTCAGAGGCATGTTATTATACACTTTAGTTCCTAAGAGTGTTACCAGCTCGTGGGCAACGGCAGCACAATGGAAGGGACCACCGAAGGACCATTTCGGCCTGAGGTAAAATCAGGGCCATAGCCTCAGAGGCATACCTTCAGGTTTTGAACTCCTTTATTGAAATTTGGAAAAACTTTAGTGCCAGTTACAAAATATCATTCGTGCTCCTAGTGATAAAATGTAGCAAAACTCTCTTCAGTTTTTGCAGTGAATCACTATTAAAGAAAAAGTTTTATTTCCAGATTTGTCAGAGACAATCGGTATATGTTACTACAAGTAAGTGGAGTGGGGCTAGAGGAGCTGTTTTAAGGAAGTGTGCACCCAGGAACCCAGGAAAGGGCTAACGCCAGCCCGAGCGGAACAGGAGGGGAGGCTGGCCTGGGGCCAAGGTGAATGTCAGGGCAGAAACCTTCAGGTTGCCTCAGACCTCCCCATCAGTCTCGGGTCAGCGCCTCTCTTGCTGCCAGGCTATGTGGCATTTCTTCTGCCAAACTATAGATTTGCTGCTTTTGTGTTGGGACTGGGGACGCATCACTCAGGCCAAGAAGAAGGGGCACATGCATTAAAAAAAAAGTATTTGTTGTGTGTGGTGTGTGAGCATGCGTGGTATTTGTTGTGTGTGTGGTATGTGTATGTGTGTTGCTCGCGTGCAACACAGATTCTAGCAGGGACTTTAGAAAGGACTCCTTTCCTTAAAAGCATCAAGTATGTGAGAGAAAAGAAGCTAGCATTTATATTACATCCTGGTCTAAAATTCACTTGACAGTGTAAATTTGAAAAAGAAACGAGTGCCTTGTGATCTGTCCCCCTTGGTTTCATGGCTCAGCCCTTCTGCTCTGGCTGGCCTGTCTCTCAGGGTAGAAATATGTGGTGTTCTTCGCTGCTTTCCTGTGGGTTTTGGTGGCACTCAGGGGCCCTACGCTCTCACGTTGACTTGGTCACAACCCTGCACTGCCTCACACAGCCTCAAACTGAGCTCTAAAGAGTTCCTCCATGAATCCTTCAAGTAGGCTAGGCACGCGTCATGAAGACAGAGCAGAGGTGTGGCTGCATGAACCGGACTTCTGTCTGCAAGTGCTCCTTTTATACAGGTTGGACTTTCTTTCTTTTTCAGACCCTCCTCACCTCTTTCCTGCGTTCCATCCTCCTGTGCCAATCGATGCAAGACACCATGAGGGGCGTTACCATTACGACCCGTCTCCGATTCCTCCATTGCATGTGTAAGTATTAAAACTTTACCCAGTAATGAAACAGAACAAAGTACTGGCTGTTACTATCTCAGGACTTTTTGTTAGAGCACGACTATAGGCGTTAAAGATGTGATAGAAGTATAAGGTTTACTTCTGAAATACAGCAAGCCTGTCTATTCCTAGACTCTGGGATGCAACCCCCACCCCCACACACACCCCCTGATGCTTCCTGTAGAATGCCTGTCTCACTGGGTGGCTGGCAAGTATTTCCTGTATATTTTGCATATGTGTGTTCTGTGGGCTATAAATACTGAATTAGAAAAGTAGAGGCCTAAAGGAAGGTTACCACTCAGAATATGTATTTGGGTGAGAATGGGTGTGAAGTTTCTCTTGCTAAAATTTCTATTAGGTGAACATCCTGTCCCAGGTATCACAATGAATGGTAATGAGTTTCTGTGGCAAGTTTTCATAGCCCCTGTGGTGTGCACCAACAGTCACTTGATTGATGGGAATGTCACCCAAACAAAATGGTAGATGTGATTGAGCACATGGTTTACACAAAGATAAAGGGAAGAATGGTAGTGATAACATACATTAGAAAAGGGAGAAGAAAATCTTGGGGAAATAAATATTGTCTTCCTAGGTTTTGGGGAAAAGGAATAGTAGACTTGCACACTAAAAAAATTTTTTTTGTAGTACTGTCCAGAAAACTGTCATATACTATAATAATTGGAGCCACTCTCTGGGAGTGGCTGCCCCTTACAAATGGCCTTTAGATACCGATATAGAGTATATGTATATGTATATGTATATATAAATAGATAAATAAAATACATTTAGTTGTATGGAGTAGTCACCCTTCATTCTGAGACAGTAAAGTTTGAACAGCACAAGTAATACTTTGAAGAATAATGCTGATTATTTAGATGGTAGATTGCATCTCTGTGGCTATTAGTTACAGCTGTGTAATTACATACATGCCAAGGAAAAATGAAGTTGTTTTAAAACAAGTCCTCCTCTGCGAACAGAATTAATTGATATTAACAACCCTAACTACATGCCCAAGTGCACGTATAATATTTTACCAACAGTTTTTTGGATCCATCTCCCATTACTAAATTGTAATTTCAGAGCAGATTTGCCTGGAGGTAAGTAATAAATCTGTGTTGCAGACTTCTATAAGCATTAACAGAAAAAGGGGGTATTTATAGAGAAAGAATACAGAAACTTGTGACTTATTTTTTGACTTTTCACTGGAACACAGGTATTTCCAGGGTTCTAAAGCCTACTCATAATATGCTCAAATAAAACCAAGAGGCCAATTTAAAATGCCCTATACAAAGGGAAGGAAATTCCAAATTCAGGCTGAAGCCTGCCATGTAATTCACCAGGTTATACAGAGGTTGTGCATGGCTGATTCTCCCAGACTCGACAGTCTCTGCAGTGCTATAGTAATTTAAATCGGAGTCTTTGGAATTTCAGAGCTTTTCACTCTTTCAAAGTCATGTTGTAGAGAAATTTCAAAAAATAAGTTTATGCGATAGAATGAACTAGCTCCTCTGGATTCATTATAGTTTGCCTTGTAATTAAATTCAAATATGAATTTATCAATTAAAATCCCAAGACTTGGTTCTTTGGCAGGCTGTAACAGCAAGCCCTCATAAAGTCCACACTGTGTCCTGTGTCCTATGCCTACAGTATTAGCTTACAAGTGATGAAAACACCACAAGACAATTTAGGTTGAGTTTTGAGAATCCTGGGGGTGGAGGTTGCACTTCAGACCTGACTGGTGAGCTGGGATTTTTACAGATTTTAATAATTACTGCTTTTTCACCCAAGCTTTAAAATACTTTAGCAGCAGTTGACTAAATTGTCCTGCAGTTGCCTAAATGTATAGTTATCAAAGATTCTTAATGCAAAGCTGGTATATAACACTGAGTTTTAAAAGAAAAGTTCTTGAAAGTTCTGAGAGGAAATGTCATCACTGTGGGCACAGTGTGATGAGCACATGGATCTGTGACCTCCTGGAATTAACTGCTAGTCCTCACAGGGTCCTGGGTGGAGATCTTGAGCTTATGAAGTAGAACCTGGGAAACTATCTGAAGCCACTCCTCAGGGCCTTTATAACATGACATTCTCTCTGCGCTGACTTCAGTGACCTTCCGGCCCTGTCTGGCAAATGCCCACTTAAACTCCTCACCCTCAAGACCTCACCTTCCTGTATCCCAGAGGCTGTCTGCACAGCACCTGTGTGCCTTTATCGTAGCATGCATCCTCTCGCTTGCTCATTTTTTGCTCAGTGATCACTGCCCCTGTGAGTCTGGCTGCCAGTGCCCAGCCCTTGGCCAGGTGCTTTGTAAAAGGTGCTCAGGAGACACCCAGGTTGTCCAGTCCCAGAGACATGGACAAGCAGCTACAGAGCTTGAGCCCTCCCTTGGTTTGCACCGACCTGTGCTGGGAACTCTGGTGACTTGCTTGTATTGGTTTCACTCACGGAAATGAAGTCATCTGCCTTTTCTTACTGAGTTCCATGAAATCATGTTCATGTGAGCACTTTTTTTTTTTTTTAAGTTTTCTTTAAATATTTCTTTGCAGGAGGGGACACCACACTTCTACTCAAGTAAGAGAAATATTTTTAACAGTAAAGAGGTCTTTTATTTATTTTTTTTTTGAGGATCTAATTGACTTTAGTAAGCAATTCATGAATTGAGCAGCATCCCATCTAGCAACAGAAGGACGCGCGAATCTATTTTTTTATACTTACCATGCCATGAATTCATAAGGACTGGGTTCCAGCAGCTCAGGCCTCTTCCCATCAGTTCTCACACAGTGAGCTTCTCTGGGTGGGGCAGGCTGGCGCTTCAGTGAACCCAGGTACCTTTCTCTTTGGCTTCCTTCTTTTTTATTTTTATTTTTTATTGTTTTCCTTCACATGTTTCAGGAAGCTCTCTCGGCTCTTAGAATGTTTAATACGCTCAATACGTACATTAATTCACTTGGCAAGAATCTTGCCCTTAACTTCTTTGTTAACAACAATGCCAACCGCATGTTGGGTGACACTATAGACCCATCCAGTTTTGCCGTGGTGACATTGGTGGGGCATTCCTTTTTGAACAGTGCCCCATTCCATTGATGTCTACAATGTCATCTTTCTTGTAGATCCGCATGTGGCCATAGGAGCAGTCCATGTTTTCTAAAAGGCCAAGAGAACATAGAGCGGGGCCTCTCCTCTCTCCCTTTGTGTTGGTCATTTTAGCAAAGCACTGGAAGATGGCGGTCCCGGCTGAAAAAAAAAGCCATGTGAGCACTCTTAAAAGCAGCAAATGTTACCAAATCCAAGTTTGTTGCACCAAGTTTCAAAAGGCCAAAACTCAAAAGGTCAGAGTTTGGAGTAAGGAAAGGTTTAGGGATCGAGAATGCGCCATCTGGGAAGATGGGAGCCCTGATGGTGCCTCAGATCCATCTTGATCGCAGGACTAGATTAAGGGTTTTTAAGGGGTTAGGGGAACCAGGTATACAGAAGTGTGGGCGGGGCGAGTTTTAATTGGAGGACCTTGAACTTCGCCATTTATGGTAAACGGTGCGTCAGCACCAGATCTTCCTGGACAGTGGACCCTTGGCTTCTGAAAGAATGTGGTGTTCATTCAGTTCTGGTTTTGTCGTCGTCTTTTGGGTCCACGTGCGTGTGTGCGTATGGTGGTGGAGTGGGTGGGTGCTGGGGGGCACTTTGGTTCCAGTGCAGCTGGAGGTCAAAGTTCTCTTTTCCGTGCATCCTTTGGCTCCACGTCTTGCTGTTTTGGTCTGTTGTCTCTGAAAAGCAACTCAGTATCTTGTAAACAGGATAGGACCATTTTGAGATGGTTCTGAGGTTACAGGAGCTGTAAGCAAATGCTGAGAGTTAGTGTTTGAGGCAGTTGGGCACACAACCAATCCTGAGTTTTCTGTCCTGGCATGGCTCAGTCATGAATTCCAGGGTTGCTTTGGTATCTTCTGTGTGCTCTGAGTCAATGCCTGTGATCATTTTAGAACTGGAGGCAATCTATTGGGTTGTTGGAAAAGTCATGACACATTTTTGCAATGAAAAACAGAAGAAATATGTCATGACTTTTCTGACAACCCAATAGGCAGATGTAGCTTGGTTACTGAAATCTTAAAAGCATGTCTTTGCTGAGGGGTAAAGCAGTGAGCTGGAAAACTAAAACAATTTCATCTAGAATTTGAATTCCAAAAGGCTTGCTATATAATTGTATTACAGAAAATGAGATCAAGAGAGCTTACTGAGTTTTTAAAATAAATATTTTTAATCATAACAGGACAAAATTTGGGGACATTCTCATTATTTTTTACACATAATTGTTCTTCTGGTGCCAACTTTAAAAATGTGTAAGCCTCAAACAGGATTTGTGCTGATGATGAAAATATTCGCAGATCTCTGTTTAGAAGGATGGCAGGCACTGTGATAATTATGCTATCACATCCTATCATTAAAGATTCCATTGAAAGGGGTTTATAAATTGCTCCTATTTTTAGATAAACCACCCTATATTAAGGCATCAATGATATGGTACAGAATTAAATTAAAATCCCATAAAATGAAATATGTTCAGTATTAGCTGTTTGACACTTAATTTGCCTCTGAATGAGTCGAGGAAATCACAAATTAACCTGCCTTTGTTTTTCCAACCATGGCTTATTAGGTGTTAGAACAACTGCAATTATAGCCTAATAATAGCCACCAAGCCTTATAAATATGTACAGAAATATGTCAGTTTGTGTTAAAGAGCCCAGTGAGCTAAATGGGATGCCTTTTGCTCCCCCCCCCCACCCCCGCTCACTCTCGTAGTGTCCCCACAGTGTATGGCTACGCAGTGTGGACAAGAGTGTAGAATCTTAGATTGTTTCAAATGCAATCGTGGCAATGATTAGAATGTATTAGTATTTCCTTTCTTAAATAAAAATCATGAATTTAGACTCAGAACTCATAAGTGGGACATGGAGTATCATTTTTCTCCTCAGTTGTCACTAAAGAT